AGTTGCGGATCCAACAGAGGCCGTTTACTTTACACCAAGCGAGGGAAGGGCTGCACTGTTTTTTTATGGGTCTGTGCCAGAGATTATCGCCGGTTCCGCAGACGCTCGACGGGCGCTTTGCTGCGAGCTCCTGACACGGTGGGATCTGTTAAAGCGAACCCGCTGTTGCACCGTTTTCATTGGTCCGTTCCGGAAGTTACGTCCAACAACCGCATCAATCAGAATCTCGGTCGCCAAGGTTTACGGTTTCACAAGACAGTGTTCTCCCGATCCCTGCTGGATTATATTTTCCGTCTCGACGCCAGGGCTCTCACGGACGAGTGGCAGCGCGCAGCGCTCCGGTAATATTCGCAGCAAGTGTGGGACCATAGTCATGTACTCTCTCATTATCAAGTATGGACAGGGTATCAGGTTGCGACGCGACAGCTTAACTTTTACCATGCGGCGTGCCTTGAGGACAAGAGTTGCAGAAATGCACCAGCCTGTCACGGGTGCGTCGAGGAAATCAAGCATCTCTTTGGGAGTGCAACAGCGCCGCTGCCCTTAAAATTAAACTCATGGAGCACTGTACCGGAGAACGAGCGTCCCGCCTGCGGACCCACCAATATCTGGACACCTGCGCCAGTAGACAGGCCCCCATGATACCGTCACACCGGATGACCCTCCTCACCGACCGATTTTAAGACGATGTGGTCTTGGCCACCCGTGAATGGACGGCAATCTGGCACATTCTCACGACGATGTGCCAAACGAGGATCTGGTTTGACCGAAATGCGGCCGTCTTCCGGGTGAAACATATCGATACTACTGGAGTAACCGAGAGTTTTTGAGCGTCACGCATCCGCCAGCTTCGAGCTATAGTAAAGCGGCAGCATCGACAAGTAGCGTCAGCGATAACCTGGGCAGTGGTTTTTGCCTACATCGAGTTTCTGGAATGCGAAACAAGAGGGTTGCCAGTGGTTACTGGCACCGGCCTTGAAAAGCCCTTGGGTCCTCCGGTGCTGACGTCCTGGCTTAGGTTATACCAAAGATCTTGCACATCGCATAACGCAACGTAAATAGACTCTCTGAACCTCTATCTTGTTGGTACCAGCTCTGGTTATAGTGAGCAACGAGTTTTTTCACGGGGAAATATGCCACTGTTCTTTTTGAAAGCTATAGTGATACCATTGCGCAAGAACGGGGGATTCAGCGGATGCCCTAGGTTATCGCTCCATCTCATTGCTCCAGACCAGCTACAAAATTTTTGCGAAGGTGTTGGCAACGCGCCTACAGCGGCTTCTGCGGCTGTTAATTGGGCACTCGCAACAAGTATTTGTTCGAGGCAGGCGAATGCTCAAGTTGGTAACAATAATATGCCCCCACCTCTTGTCCTCCCGTGGCGAGGCATATCGACCTGCCTACTCCAGCCGAGTAATTTTGCTTTTGGATTTTCGTAAAGCTTATGACACAGTGGAACGAGAGTCTTTATACGAACCCTTTCGGCAGTTCCAATTTGAAGAACTGTTTGTCCAACTCATTAAGCGTATGCACACAGGAACTACAGCACGTTTGCGTTTCATCGGAATCAATCCGAGCCTGTTCCTATCGAATCCGGTATTCGTCAGGGTTGCCATCCGGCTCCGTTACTCTTTTTGATCGTGGTGGAATCGCTAGGATTGGCTATTCATCATCACTCGGGGCTCAGCGGGCTTTCCGTGCCTGGAGCGGTAGGAGAAACCCACATTTTTTGCTTTTGTCGATGACTCAACTCTTTTCCTCAAGACGGCCGATCAACTCGAGCCTCCGCTGAGACTCGTACAGCGCTTCGGGAAGCTATCTGGCCTCCAGGTCCAACCAGAAAAAAGCAAACTTATCGTTATAAACACGATAATTCGTCTTCAGCAATATAAGGGAATATCGGTAGTGCCTGCTCATGATACCGTCCGATACTTGGGGTATGAGGTAGGAACTGGGGAGCTGGTCCAGACGAATTGGGCACTGCGACTTCGTCGGGTCCGCCAACGGCTTCTACGACTACCACGGTGGCGACCAGTGTGCACCATCGGGTGGTCATTCTCAACGCCATCGTTCTTCCTTCGGTCCTGTTCACGTCGACTGTCTTTGACATGCCTGTATGGGCAAAACAAGAGCTGGCTCAACTTTACAAACGCTTTCTGTGGCAGCACGCGTCTAAGTCCGAGGTCTGCCGGCACAAAATCAATCCGGCACTCCTAGTCACACCGAAGCAAGCGGGTGGGTTCGGCCTCGTCTTCTTCGAGGTGGCCATAAAAAACCAACGGACGAAGTTGGCGTTGAAATGGCTCTTACAGGGAGACGACGTGTATTTTCAAGCTTGGCGCAATTACACGTTTCGTGGGGCGCGATTTGTGTCCGCCTTGATCCCAGCGCTAAACTCTATCCGGGGAGATGACCGACCGCTGGGGCTGCAGCCTTCACGGCACCACCTACAGCACGATCTTGATGGGCTCCTCGCTCTTACTTTAGATCGTTGGTCGCGGGCTCGGATCGCGGAGCATTATGATCGGCTTTTGGCTGGGGCAAGCAGTTGGTGGGAAGTCTCAGATTGGGTTCTGTCCTATCACTTTGATTCCCCAGCCGCATCTGTGGCCGATGATCACAAAGAGAACTCTCTAACTAGCTTTTGGTGCCAATTTTACTGAAATGATAATTCTTGGTTTTGACCACCCGTGGCAAGCCTCTCAGGAGCTCCCAATTCGCTCGAAGACTTCCGTGCTGCATCCGGGATCTCCGTATTTAGCGCACAGGACCGCACGAATTTGCTTTTACCATTCCGTCTCTCGGTGAAGGTGATGCAAGCCATCTGCACCCTAAATTACGCCGGTGGGCGTCTCTGATTCTGCTCGGTTCACCGCATATTGCATTCGGGGTGGCACTGACAGAACCGACTATGCTCTTGCGGCAGCCGCCACCATTTCACCATCAGTATCAGTGGACTCGGTCTTCCGCCACCTCTATTATCGGTACGGCGCCAGGATTCTCTTCGTCGTCGGCGCAGACTGTAATGGGGTAGCCCGTTACATGATATTGTCATTACGAAGAAAATGACAATAAATAATATAATGAAGAATATTCTTTCAACAATATCACAGAGCATGATGATATTGTTGAAGATGACCGAAGGGTCTACTCATTGGTTGATATCGTGATGATATCAACCCACCAATCGCTGCTAGACGCGCGCAATAGGTGGTGAGTAGACGTCATCATACATTTAGTTACATTAGTTCAATTAAGTCAGGACAAACAGAGATACAAGAGTTATAGGACTTAATTGTATTAATAACACTTTTACTTTTCCTACGACTAGAGTCTTTCACCTTAGTCGTTCTATCTTCCTCTGTGTAGTTCTACACCTAGCTGGGCACTGAATATCACTACAGCCGGTGATAGTAAACTCCGTACTCGTTGACCAGTACGTAGTCGTCGGTGCCCCGTTACACAGACCGTTCATCTTTCTAGGGGGGTCGATGGTCTTCCCTGGTTTTATCAAGGCGACCCTCCCGACGTACGCACCTTTAAAGCGCGGGAGGAAGCTGACTGGCATCCCCGGCTACAACAGGGACTAGTCTTTCTCGCCCATCCGGCCCACCATCGGCTACTGCCTTGGAGCGTGCCGGATCGAGTGAAAATCACCGGGTGTCGTCCTCATTTTTACGCCAGGCTTTTCACTACCATAAACGTCAGCTTCTCCCTGCGCTGTAGCACTGGCTAAACCGCTTTGAACACCAGACTCGGTCGGAGCGGTGGCTTGCAGCGGTCGCAGATCAAACCCCGCTCAAATTTGGCGGCACGCGAACATTCTTACTGAGTACCAAGTGTGGACGGGTTACCGGATCGCAACCAATCAGCTCAATTTATATCACGTCGGACGCTCCGATGATCCCAGTTGCCGGAAACTCGAGCACTGCAAGGGGCGCAAAGAGACTGTCACTCATATATTTTGGGATTGTTCAACTGCTATAGCCTGCTGGAGCCTCTTGCTCCGTCATTGGTCTGGGGAGGGAGTTCATGAATCCACAGTTACGGGTTATTTTCGGTATTTCGCCTATCGAAGGGCGCCTCCGATTCCACCGCGCTTGCTGCAGCTCTTAATTGATCGTTTTGGGGATGATCACACGGCAGCGGCAGACGAAGACCGCCGGATCTGGTTTATGTTATGCTCCTTGTGTCAGGTGCATCTTTGGGTAGAGCGCAATGCGGTAATCTTTCGACGGGAGACCACTTCTCCGGCTCAAAGTGCCCTAGCATTCTGGCGGGGCGGTCTGCGGCAGTTGAAGGCAATTGCTATGCGAAAACATCGGTCCGCAGCTACAGCGGTCAGAGGGGCGCGTCTTCATGCATGCCTAGACATTTTCAGCCACGTTCCTACAGGCTGCCAGGCTTCGCTGACTATCAGCCACGATGAGCTAACCATTCCGGCGCTCGTATCCTGGTTCAGGACTTTTCAGACATCTTGCACATCTTAACATGTAAATAGACGATCATCGAACTCCTCCACACATACACACATACACACATACACACATACACACATACAAACATACACACATACACACATACATACATACATACATACATACATACATACATACATACATACATACATACATACATACATACATACATACATACATACATACATACATACATACATACATACATACATACATACATACATACATACATACATACATACATACATACATACATACATACATACATACATACATACATACATACATACATACATACATACATACATACATACATACATACATACATACATGCATACATACATACATGCATACATACATGCATACATACATACATACATACATTCAAACACACATACATACAAACATACAAACATACAAACACACATACAAACATACATACAAACATGCGTGCATTAGCGACCCTGAGACATTCTTTTCGCCCAATCAGCGAGTACCCATGAAGCCATCCACAATTGCTCAATGGACTTTGGCCGACTATTGCGCGAAGAACGCCGACGTGCCCGTCATGAGACTGCTGGAACGAAAGTGTCGCTCATTGAGACGAAAGCTACTGACACACCAGCGACAGTGACAGCTTCCGAGCAGTGTGCAGTATCGTGGCAAAGTGCGGGACTGAAAGTGTGGCGTCCGAGGTCCGTGCGATGCATGTCCCGCGTGGTAGGCACTTGTTCATAACGAACGCGAAGAATGCGCAGAAACGAGCGTCTTGTTCATGCGTCTGTGGGCAGATCCTCAGCTGCGCCGCTTGATCTGGACGCACTCCAGCGCGGGCCAATTCGTGGCGTGTGTTACATTCCCAACTGGCTGACACAGGACGAGGAGGACGCTATCTTGGATCGGGTGTATGCAGTTCCCGACGACAGTGCGAGTTGGGTACAGCTCAAGCACCGGCGTCTGCAGCGATGGGGCGGCGAAGTCAAGAGTCCGTTTATGTCCGAGCCGCTGCCTCAGTGGCTCCAGCAGATAAGTCAGACGCTAGTGGATGTGGGCGTCTTTCACGACGCGAAGAAGCCCAACCACGCGCTGATCAATGGTGCGTGAGTCGTGTCGCTCCATGTTTTGCGACTGAGCCGTCTTAGTCGCTGGTCACGACCATTAACGAGTGACCTCTGTTCGTGCGCAGAATATGCTGTGGGGGACTATATTCTGCCGCACGAGGACGGACGTGCGTACTTTCCGTTGGTGTGCATCCTCAGCATAGGCGCAGACTGCCGTGTGACGTTTCAGCCGCATCAACGAGACGCAGCAGCTGCTACCCACGAAGGCGACTCCACGTCAGCACCGCAACGCACCTTCACGCAGCACTCGGCGTTTCCGCTGGAACGCCGCAGTCTACTCGTGTTCACGGGCGAAGCCTATTCGCGCTACTTACACAGCATCGACAATGTCGAAGTGGGTACACGCGTTTCATTGACGCTGCGCCACGTTGATCTGCTCTGATGGAAACACGCGCGTCGAATTAACACGAAAAGAGGTGAGGGACACAGACTTGTGGATTCATTAGTCGACCGTCAGGAAAAAACGGCACACGCAGCAACAGGCACGTTCGTCTTTACGAGACGACGGGATACAAAGCTGCGGACACCTACTTCCTTGTGGCATTACACCGTTCTGCGCTCGCCTCTTGCTCGTGTCCACAGCCTCCGTGCGCCACAATGGATCGATCGTCTCGCCCAATCACGTCCCCTCGCGCGCGGCCGCCACCGCCGCTGCTCTGCGCCCATTCGTAGCGCTTTTACATAATCGGCAGAAACAGCGGCTCTTCCTGCACAAACGGTAGGGCCGCAATCTTCTGGCACATGGCGCGCACTTTTGACAGCGGCGACATCTCTGTCGTCACGACAAACTGCACGCGCGCGCGGTCCACGATCGGCGCCTGCAAAATCGAGTACACCGACACGCCGCTCTCTTCGGCCGTCTGCCCCACGTGCCGGATAATGCCCAGTCCGTCCGTGATCGTCACGCGCACGTAAAACTGCGCTTCGTAGTCGGACTCGAGCGTCAGCGGCTTCGACGGCATAAACGGCTCACTCGGCGCGTCGCCCCGCGCGAGCTGCACAATGTCGTTCAGGACCGAGTTCGCCGTGGGGAAGCGGCCGGCGCCGGGCCCGACGTACGCGGCGCTCTCGAGATTCTGCGAGCGCACGTTCACCAGGTTCGTTGCGCCGCTGATGCTGGCAATGACGTTGCTCCGGTGGACCACCACGGGCGACACAAAAACCGCCACCGCAGGCGGTGTGCCCGTGCGCTCGGCGCTGTCCGCCGCTGGTCCGACCAGTTTCGCGACCCCGAGCAACTTGATCGTGCTGTCCATCATCTTGGCGTACTTAAAGTCCACCGCCGCGAGCCGCGAGATGCCTGTAGTCGGGATCGCAGCCGGTGCCACGACACCGCCGAACGCTAATTTGGTCAAAATGGCGATTTTGCTCTGGACGTCGAACCCGTCGACGTCGGCGCTCGGGTTCGCTTCGGCGAACCCCAACGCTTGCGCTTCTTGCAGCACGTCGTCGTAGGCGACGCCGTGCGCCTCCATCTTGGAGAGCATGTAGTTGGTCGTGCCGTTCAGGATGCCGGCGACTTCCGTGATCGTGTCGCTGCTGTAGGCGCGCTGGAGCGTGTGGATGATGGGGATGCCGCCGGCCACGGCCGCTTCGTAGCTGAAGCGCACGTCGGGATGCGCGCGCAAGAGCTGCTCGATCTCGGGCAGAAACGACGCGACAAGCGCCTTATTGGCCGTGACCACGTGCTTCCCGGCTCGGATCGCCTCGAACACTACGTCTTTGGCCGCGTCGACGCCGCCCATGAGCTCGACGACGCAGTTGATGCTGCCGTCGTCGAGAATGTCGCGGGAGTTGCTCGTGAACGAGGTCTCGGTCGGCGACCAGTGCGCGAGCTGCCGGTCTTTGTGCACGTCCTGCACGCAGATCTTGGCCACGCGCGCGTTGACGCCGAGGCGCTCGAGCGCTTGACGACGCACGGGGTTGTGCAGCAAGTCGAAGACGCCACCGCCGACTGTGCCGCAGCCAAATAGTCCGATCGTGAGGGGAATGCGTGGCAGCGCCATGAGATAGTGCAGAAACAAGAGAGAGGAAAGGAGGGGGAAGGCGGTTGCACAAGAGGGCAACGAACGATCGAGAGTGCGGGGTTGAAGGGAAACCGAGCAGCGAGGCGGCGCGGTGTGCGTGTTTGATTGCACCCTGTTGCGCACCCGTGCAATTGGTGCCATCAAATGCGCACAGCGGATCTTGTGTGTTGGAACGAGTTGGATCGGAGTAAAAGAAGCGGGCCATGACTGGTTTAAATTTCTTTTTTTCGCTATCCGGTAGTTTCCAGCTCAATCTGTGTGTGCGACACGGGGCAATCAGGGCGACGATCGCCGAGACGAAGTCTGGCGGGTACGACAGGTGGCATAGCCACATTGGACGCCTCAGTCAGTGGTCAAACATATATTCAAATCTATGCGTGAGACGGCGTGAGACGGCGCGAGACGAGAGCGGGGCACGCAAGCACTGACGGAAGCGCCACTCCGCACACGTCGCAGCACCTAATTCTTCAATTCAAAATGTATATTCGTCAACTGAGCCAGTTCGTGTCCATGCCTCCTCCTCCAGTCAAATCGTGCGAACGGGCGGTTCAGGGCACCGCCACACCCGACGATCCAAACATGTCGCGAAAGATCGCTAAATATTCGACCTCGCCTCGAAGCAGTTTGCGAGACGCCATCAACTGGCGTCATCATCGCGGTCCGTTGTAGGAGACAGAGGCCGATCCAAAGGAAAGCTGGGACGCTGGAGTCTGATCGGTGGAAGAGACAGCACAGGATACTGATCCAGCGTTGATCGAGTCTTTGCAGCCTTTTGAGTTGCCAGGTGAGACTTGAGAGAGACCTGAGTGAACATGCGGCAAGAGAACGAGAGAGAGCGAGAGAGACCAACGAGACGAACAACGGCAGAAGCGATCGGTGTTGCGCTCGACATGTGCGCACTTGTCAGTTCGCACGTGGGGCAAGCTGTCGCACCAACGCATTTCTGTGTGAGAAACTGCAGTGTGTCGTCACGTGGGATAAGCGGCAGCGACGGGACGTGGGTCAATCGTCAAATGCGCTAATCCATCGATAGTTCGCCCAGAATGAAGCAGAAGCGGGGGATCCTGCGCTTTACCGCAGCGTTATCGATCGTAGGCGATGATGCATACACACGAAAATAACGCTAGGAAAAACGAAGGATTACACACTTACCGATGCCGAAAGTGCGTAGAGGTGTTCGTGTAACTCGAACATTGCTTTCGTATTGACACGCATCGATAAATCGCACTGCTGTAGCTGTCGCTTACGCATGAACTGTTAGGAGAAACTCTTCTGTGTAAAAAAGGTTCTTGACCATTCGATCTCGGGCCACGCGACGCACTCGTAGGAAGAGCAGCACTACAACGTCGGCATGCGTCACCAAGAGACGCATAAGGTCGTCGGCAACCGATCCCTGGTGCACGCTCGATGCTCTTTTCACGTAATGACATTCCTTACTCCTCCTCTGACGTATCGCCACGTTTGCGTTTTGCCACTTGCCTATTAGGCTTTCAATCTTGATACATTGGACGCATGAGGTATGTGTGTGCTGTAGAAAATGACTCGTTGGCCGTGCGCGGCCTGTCTGAAGCCATATGCAAGTGGCATCTCTACATTCCGTTTTGGCTAACAACGCCACACATGTGTAAGCGTTCCGAAAAAAAGGTTTTGCCCGAATCACACGTATCGTCCAAACGGCCACTTCATCGAATGATACGAGCTTTCCTAGCTGAACGAGCTTCGTGAACAAAAACTTGCTCAGAGCGCCATATATCGACATCACGTTACCTACCAAATGCCTATGTAACGTGATGTCGATATGTGGCGCTCTAAGCCTAGGCCTTACCAGCCGAACAACGGCACCTTGCACACGCAGCTCTCACCACTTCAATGATTGCATCACAAGAGCGAAACAGCTCGCGCACATGGTGGATGCGCAACAAAGGCAATCGGCAAAATGCCATACTAAGCACGCATCGTCTTAGCGCTCGTTCCAAGTCACGGCGTTCCGATGCCTAGCTCATTATGACGGTTTGCATTGCCACGTGCCATCCCAGCGCCCCCTTCTTCAGCATAGTTGATCAAACGAATGGCTGGCTGCAAGTCCAGTCGTACAACGGAATGTAGAGTCCGTTTACAATTGGTACATGAGGGTGGTAGAAGTCAACGAGGAGATGGCCTGCTCGTAAGGTTGTGCGTAACAGGCAATCGCTATGATATCGGGCATGTGAGCAATGTCAGCCGAGAAGGACATGGCCATGGAACAAAACGTAGCTCTTTTTTGCGTATCACTCCTGCATGATGACTGAGCCTCAGTATGTTACTGATTGCTTGCAATTGTCAATGTAGCTGTTTAGAGATCAACGCGCAGCGCTCTCATATAGTGCCCAATGCGTGCAGCGTGGAGGTTTCTCGTTGCTGGAGCACATCTTCTCGGCTGCAGCCCGAGAGAAGCGGTTGTCATGACCAGAGATGGGTGACACATCGAAGCGGGCAAGAGTACAAGCACGACATCTGCTAACTTGCCGTCAGCATAAACATGTAGCCTCTTGCTCACGATTGTGGGCGGCCCTCATCGCAACTATCACTGCTTTGCACACTTGACGTAAGCATCAAGACTTGTGAAAGTAGCAGGCTGCCATTGTAGCGTAAATCGTCACGTGTTGCGCTGATTCGGTTGCGCGAGGTCGGACCTTAACGAAAAAGGAACAAAAGGTGGTGTGAATTGTAAACCCACAATTTATTTATAGACAATGACATCAGAAAGTTCGGCTGTCGCTGATTCCTCAAGAACCCATCGTACGAAGAAACGGAAGGAAATCCGAAATATTACGATAGAATGCGCTTTGTAGCAAGGTACATGTAGCATGTAAGACATGTTTTCCCTTTACATGCTATTACACATTGCTCGTCAGTTAGAGCGTCCGCCAGCAGCTAAAGTGAAACAATTGGTGGCCGCACGTACCATTCTTGTCCAGAATAGGCACGTTACCGCAGCAACTTTTGTACATATTCGACGTAAAAGTCTGCACAGGGTTTCTTCGCATGTTTTGGTGTACACATGTTCGCCTATGATGCAAGTCGGTTTCGAATTTTTGGATGCGCACAAGAAATGGACATGCTCGAGGACAGAACTTGTAGCATGCTTTTGTCATTCATAGAATCGAGGCCGTCTTCTGGAACGCCCTCACTGGCAGAACCGTCGTTGTACCGTCGAACGACATAAGTAGTTCGAAGTAAGTGATTAGCACGGCGATTTTCATTTTGGGTTAGACTGATCGTTTTGCTTGGTGCAGCACGAGCAAGTAATGGTTTTTTGGGCTTCACAGTCAAGCGATGTTGCTACGGAACACACCACAAAAATCGTAGAAAGCGGTCAATTGCGCACTTCCCGTAATTTACATGCTCATGACAAGACAGCGATCCCGCATGCTACTAAATATCCGCTGCGATCTCCTAATGTGTTCATGATACAGTAGCACCGATTTCTGGTGGATGCTGCTCGCGCATGAGCGTTACTACACTTTTGTATAATGATTGCCAGTAATCTCGTAGAGCGACTGCGTAGGAACGTTTACTTTTTACATGCTCTGTTCTCGGTATGAACAATGGCTCGGTACGTAGTGCTACAGATTAGGGAATAAGACGTTCCTGATCTAATGCTTTCTCTACGTGCACACTTTTTATTCAACTGTTGCAACCATGTACGAGACTCCAAGGCTGGCCTTCAATCGGCAAATCCGGATGGCAAAAGGAAGGAGCAGGAAAGGTGGCTATCATGTAACGGGGCACACCCTTGCGTAACTTAACGCAAGGGATTTGGGTGCCCCGACGGACGTACACGTGGCGAGCGAGGAAGCGTAGGTAGGGTAAAAGTAGAACTGTTATATTAATGAATTAAGTCTTTAAACTACTGTCTCTTCGTTTGACTTAATTCAATTATACTAATATAACTGCATGTATGGTGACGTCTCGTCACCACTCATTGCGCGCGTCTTGCGGCGATTGGTGGGTTGATATC